ACAGGTAGTCCTCGGTTTACAACAGTTCATTTAGTGACCGTTCAAAGTTACAGCGGCACTGAAAATGGTGACTTAGGACTGCTTTTCACACTTAACGACCGTTGCGGCCAGGTGATCAAAATTCAGACGCTTGGCAACTGACTGCAGTGTCCCAGAGTCCTGTGTTTCCCTTTTGCGACCTTCTGACAAGCAAAGTCAATAACTGATTCACATTTATGACGGCCACAGTGTCCCAGAGTTCTGTGTTCCCATTGTGCGACCTTCTGACAAGCAAAATCCGTGGGGAAACCAGATTCACTTAATGACTGTGTTACTAATTTAACAATGGCAGTGATTCACTTAAGAAATGTGGCAAGTTGTAAAACAGGGCGAAACTCACAACCGTCTTGCTTAGTCACAGAAATGTTGGGCTCGATTGTGGTCATAAGTTGAGGACTACCTGTAAGAGGAGCCACATGTCTAAATGTCTGGAGGAGAAGCATAAAAACATTGCTATGAATTACAAATCAGAAGTCCATTCTATGACCGGCTAAGTGTTGTAGCCCGCCATCAGACAGTGAGGAGGTTGGGGAGGAACATGGGTCAGTCCTGGAGGCTGGGGAAAGTTTGGACGAGTGCTCTGCGTTGGAGGCAGAGACAGGGCCAAGGCTATCTGGCAGTGATCAGAGGATGTAAGGTTGTAAGCTGCAAACTGTAAGCTGCTGCAATGAGGATGAATCAGCAATACAGGTATAGCCAGTTTAAGACTCCGGTGGGGTCCACGTAGGTCTTCTACCATCTTAAGATTATATACATACATACATACATACATACATACATACATACATACATANTCAGAATAGAATAGAATTAGAATTCAGAATAGAATAGAATAGAATTGGAATAGAATTCAGAATAGAATAAAACAGCACAGAACATGGAATATGGAATAGGTTAGAATGGAATATGGAATGGAATGGAATAAAAGAATAGAACAGAACAGAACAGAACAACAGATTTGGAAGGGACCTTGGAGGTCTTCTAGTCCAACCCCGTGCTTAGGCAGGAAACCCTACACCACTTCAGACAAATGGATATCCAACACCTTCTTAAAAACATCCAATATTGGAGCATTTACAACTTGTGGAGGCAAGTTCTTCCGCTGATTAATTGTTCTCACTGTCAGGAAATTTCAAGCCTTCCAATTCACTGCCATTTTTGGCAAATGACTGGCATCCATTTTTAAAACAAACAAACAAACTTATTTGTTTATTAAACCCATTTAGATCCACAGGTGACTCTGTGTACAGCAGTGCTAGAAACAGTTAATAAATGCACTAAAAATGATTAAAAACCAAATTTGTCCTCTTCCATGAAAAGATGGGGGGGACACTTCTTTTATTCCTAAATTACAAGTTAGGAGCTGAAGCCCCTCGACCAAATTTGGGGGGTGGGTGGAATTTTTGCTTTTTATGCCATTTCCATTCCTGCACAAAAATCTTTGCTGTGTTTGCATTTCCCTGCTCCCACAGCAACACCCCCCAACCCCTCCCTCAAACCCCCAATATGTGGGGGAAACCCACTAAACTCTCCCCAGTCTGCAAAAGACAGGTCCTCAAAACAGCCAAGGGACCACACCGCTCCCCCCTTCCTGTTGCCAAGGCCTTTGGACTACCTCCCCCATCCTCCCCTTGCCCAATGTGCCCCCTCCCCAAAGGCAGGGAAGGGCTCTCTGAAAGGGCTCACCTGGCCCAGGGGGCTCCTCAGTTCGGTCCTGGGTGGGCCTGGGGTTTTTGGTGGTCTCTAGGCCCAGGTGGGACCCCCTATTCCTCCCCGCAGCCCTGAGAAGCCCCTGCTGCCTTGTCTTCCCTCAGCAGGGTCCCTCCATGGCCCAGGTGAGGGCAATTAAGGAATTAGACTCTGGAGTGGAGCCTTAAAGGGAACAGCTCTTTATTTTGATTTTTAAAATTATTATTTGGGCATTTGGGGCCAGCCTGGCAAGAGGTTGGTATTTATTTATTCTTTCAGCTCTGTTTCCTTGGCTCTTCATGTGGCTGACTCTCCGGGCAGATCCAACGGGCAACAAACGGGCACCACAACACAATGCAAGATTAACAGAGGGATATAAACAAGATCAAGGGAAGTACTAATCCCCCGCTCTATAAAGCCTTAGCAAGACCACACCTAGAATCCTGCATCCAGTTTTGGTCCCCACTGTAAAAAAGATGTTGAGACTCTAGAAAAAGNAGGAAGGAAGGAAGGAAGGAAGGAGAGATATGATGGATCGGTGGAAGGAAGAAGAGATATGGAGATGGATGGATGGATGGATGGATGGATGGATGGATGGAGAAGGAGGGAGGGAAGGAAGGAAGGAAGGAAATCCCAAATGCACAATTTTCCAACTGTTAACGAGATATAGGAAATATATTATCTGCCAGAAGTGGGAACTGGCTGCTAAATTTGCAGGTACTTTCCAAAGAAATAGCAAACTAGGATTGTTATTGTTGGAGAGAAGAAAAAAAGGGCCTGAAGCACAGCCCTCTGGTGTTTGTACCACCTAACAGGGTTGTTGTAATGGCCACGTGGTTGTAAGCGAACAAATCTATGCCAATTAGAAAGAATTCGGTCATGTTTTCCACTAAACAAATCTGTTTGCATCGGAATTACTGCAGGCCGAGTGAAACAGCACCATCTGCTGCTCATTTCTGGTAACGGCCTATTGTAAACTTACCGGGTCAGAATCCTCAAATTAAATTTATTTCTAGAATATTTGGGGAGGGGGGGCACCAGAACCCCCCCCCCAAGAATGTAAAACCTATTCTGGGGTAGAGGAAAAGCATTTACTGCGAGAAAGCCATGCATTGGGGGGGGGGCGCTCCTGAAATAATGGAAAATGGGGTTGGACTAGATGACCTACAGGATCCCTTTCCAACTCTGTTAACGTTAATCTGTTAAATTCACAAAAACGCATAAAATGGGCCGAAAAACACGGAACATCGACCCCGCCAGGTTGCCCACCCTGCCCAGAGACCCTTCCCAACCCCAGGCCAGCTCCTGCATTGTTAGCAAAATGGCTGACAAAGGAAAAAAATAAAATAAAATCAGAACACATGGGAAGATTAAGATAGACTACTCCTCAACATGGAGGTTCCACTGACTGCTCTGCTAGCTGCTGAGAAACACCAAAGCATTTCCGGGCTGGCATTCCTATTTTCCAGAGTGCAGTTAAAAGTGGTCGGTAAAAGGAAACCCCACTGCTGTTGCTCCTTTTTCGGGATCTTAACAATAGACTGCTCCTAAACAGAGAGGCTCTACTGAACCCTCAGTGGCCAGGCTCCTGCTCTAAAACTGCGCAGGGATTCCTAGATTAAACCCAGGCTTCTTCACCTGGGTAGCTTTTTTAAGAGGTGTGGACTTCAATTCCCAGAATTCCCCAGTTGAAAATAATGGAAGCGGCTGGGGAACTTGTAGTCCCTCCGGGTGGGGGCTGAACTACATTTCCCAGCATTCCGTTGGGCAGGATTTACCTCAGCTGTGTGGCATACGTTTCTCCTTTTAAAATTTAATTTTAATGTAATTATTTATTTTGTCAAGCATGTATAGGAACAGATAGAAGTATAAACATGATTATGAATGATTTTAAAATATATATTTTATTAAACTGAGGGAAAAGCAACACACAAAGATTAAAGGCCACATTATGGAAATAATAAAGCTCAGGTTTTCAGTATAATATTTAAAATTTGAACATATTGCTTTTTTTTCCCTTTGGAAAAAACAAAGCCCAAATCCTCCACACTCCCAAATTATGCTCCTTAAAAGAGCATATATTTCCCGTTCAAGCCAAAATAATATCATAGTAATTCACACATCAATAAATATTGACCTTTTCTTGCACCTCAGTTCATTTTCCCTTAAAATAAATTGGGAACATTTATCCCCCAAATTGGAGATTGCAAAGCCAGACTTATTTTAAGTGTTCCCTCCTTTTTATTTTTGCAAAAAAAGGTGTTTTTAAAAACCTGAATCTCATTTGGAGCAGGTAAGAAAATATTAATAATCTACAGGTCTGAAAGGCTTGGAAGAAAATAAGTTGGTCAACATTTTGACCTCCCAAAAATACATCAAATTATAAAATAGAATAGAATTCAGAATAGAATAGAATAAGATTTAGAATAAAATTCAGAATAGAATAGAATAGAATTNGCCAGCACTGTCCGAAGACGTCTCTGTGGTCATGTGGCTGGCATGACTCAACACTGAAGGCGCACGGAACGCTGTTACCTTCCCACCAAAGGTGGTCCCTATTTTTTCCACTTGCATTTTTACATGCTTTCAAACTACTAGGATGGCAGAAGCTGGGACAAGCCACAGGAGCTCACGCCGTTAGGCAGCGCTAGGGATTCAAACCACCAAACTGGTGATCCTTCTGATCAACAAGCTTACTTCAGATATCGTAGTTTCCCATGTCAGAAGGATTTTTCCCTGTCTGGAAAAGATAAGAGCTCTCATCTAGCTATCGTGAAATTGGGAGGTATTTATTTAGCTACCTAATTGGGGATTTTTCTTTCTGTTTTGGAAGCACATCCAGTGTTTGCGGTAACAATAATCAGCTGTCGAAGTTCTCGGAGTGTTAATCACACTTTAGTAAAGACAAAGCAAGGAAGGAAAGCAGGTTTTTTTGATTTTGGAGCATTTCTATTCATACATGGACAATCTGCTTTGAGCGATGGAAATGCAGTGTGCCTTGCAAGCCAAGAAAACTGGAAATGTAAATTCAGCTTTGGCAGGAAATTATGACAACATGAGTCTTGAATATCTGGACCAGGAATCAAAACAATTATCTCGGAACAAAAACGATGAGTAAGATTGGAGTTAAGAATTAATGGAGTAGAACCAAGTTGGTTTACATCTGCTTACGCGATTCGTTATATAAATCAATTTTCCAAAGCTACAAGGGCTAAAAATGTTAGTCAGCAAAATAGGGATAAGCAAATCATGTAGCCTTGATGCAAACACAGTGGTGGAGATTTTTTTTTAATAAGCTTTATGCCCTTTAAGGTACTGCAAATTAGTGGCTCCTCAGTCTTTCAGCAATCAATCATTTTCATACATTCAATTGTTACTCTTCCGTCCCTTGATTTTAAGAGAATTAGCCTTGCTTAGTTGGCAAGCTACCAAAAGTCCCCCTTTAAAAAGCATTACTTGTCCCCGATTTGAGTGTACAATTTTTTTACAAAAATAGATCTTTTTTTAAAAGAAGCAGCGTCCCCTCTGGAGGGGGGGCTGTCGACACACAAGCGAAACTTTTCAGCCAAAAATCCCAGCCCATGTTCCTTCGGATGCGCAAGAACAAGTTTATAGGGAGTTTAATTCTGCTTTTCCTACATGTTGAGACAATGCGCACAATTTCTCTGGATGTGCTTTCTTCCTGGCTGTTCCTCCATTTCTTTAACAAAAAGAGATGCAGCAGGTTGCTTTTAAGCCCAAGTCGCTTCTCCCCTCCAGGGGAGGTGGCAATTTTTTAAAAAATCAGAAACGGATACAAAAGATGAAGAATGCGCATTTCCGAAGGTTCAGCAGCAAAGCCTCTCTGGAGAAATTAACAAACACGGCAGCACTGAAGTGGAGGGATAAATTTTGATTTTTCAGCAGGATGTGATTATTATTTTTTAATTCTCCAAAGAGGTCCAAGTGATAGAGAAGGAAATCAATACACTCCTTGTAATTTGTGCCTTAGGAGAGATCGGCAAGGAAGGCCGCCGGAGAGAAACACAGCCCATTCACACCAACGGTCACCATCCGGTCTGCAAAGGCCCCAAAAGCCGGGTCACTGCATGTAAGGGTACTTCCAGTCCCCCAACGGCTCGTGGGTCTCCTTGATGGCCTGGGGAGATGTCCAGCGCAGGATGTAATGAGCGCTGCCTGGCTTGTCATTGGTTCCTACGTCCAAAAGGAGAAAGGCATGCATTTGCGTCCTCTGCGACCAAACATGCCAAAGTGGCTAGACCTCATTGTCCCAGGAAAACCACAGGCTCGCTTCCCGCATCTCGCCGGGTCGTTATGTGGCTGCGAGAGCCTGGTTGCTGAGCTTGTTTTGCAACTCACAAGATTTGGAGGACAGGTAAAGAAAGTTGCGGCGTGCCACAAAGGCTCCCTTGTTTGTGTCAACATGCCACAACTGGGTGTAAATGTGTTGTTTTGTCTGTACTTCAGGCCTGGGAGCCATTATGCAGGAATGGAGAGACATACAACAATGACAGGGATGATAATGGTGACAATAACAACAGTGCTAACCACAGTTGATCAGAAAGTGGTGCAAAATGTTCTTAGACCAGCCCAGGTGAGGAGCACCCACCCCCTCTCCCCCCAGTCTAATCCCCGACGTACCTGAGGCGCGAGAGCCCCCAAACGGCTGCTGGGCCACCACCGCACCGGTGGACTTGTCATTGATGTAGAAATTCCCGGCCGCGTTCCTTAGGAGTTTGGTGGCTTCATCAACGACGGCCCTGAGCAAAGATGTTGGGAGGGGAAAGAGTTCAGAATTTCCTGCAAGAGTGCGCCCCACAGCGTCTTCAAAAGCCCCACAATTACCGGCCAGTGTTATCGGCAGCTCTCAACACACAGGCAAAGCACAGCTTGTACCAAACAATCACACAGACGGGAGACGAAAGGAGAGGAGGTGGGAAGGATCAGTGATAGGAAAAAACAATACAAACAACTCCAATCCTAAGAGTCAAGTAAAACAGGTCTCTATCGGGCCGAGACTGAGTTTAAACTGGAGGCAGGCAGAGGAAGTAGAGAGGCATGGCTTCTATTCGAACTCAGTCTCTGGGCAGACTGGACATGAGAATAATCCATTGATGACCCCTCCCACAAGCTACTCCAGGGAACAAAGGGGTTTCACTAAGGCTGCAATATTGTGGCAATGGCAAAACTGAGGATTGGGAGGGGGAAATGTCTTCTGGCCTGCTGCAACTGAGCTGGGAGAAGATTAAGAGTATTTGGGTCTGGGCCTACCTTCTTCTTAAAACTGACCATTATTTCCCAATTCTCCAGGACAGTAACATTTGATCTACCCTGTTTCCCTGAAAATAAGACCTCCCTGGATAATAAGCCCAATCGGGCTTTTGAACGCATGAGCTAAAATAAGCTCTCCCCGAAAATAAGCCCTCCCCTAAAATATTAAAATGCATGTGCAGCTGGTCCCCACCATTTCCTGGGGTGGGGGGAGACATGCCCCACACGCACCTTCCATCCACGCGGAATGGCCTCACGGAGGCTGCTCCCGCACACCCTAGCTACTATACCCCTTTCTCTTAATGGTGGCCGCAAAAAGATTGGCAGGCTGGCAAGAGTATGCCAGAAACAGAGACAGAACTTCCGGCCCTCTCTGGATCAGCTGATCCGCGGGCCGAGGTTAAGGACTTCGAAGATAATAAGACCTCCCCCAAAATAAGGCCAAGCACTTATTTTTGAGGTCCAAAAGAAAATAAGACCCCATCTTATTTCCAGGGAAACACGGTAAGTAGAAGGAACCCCCTGCCCCCAGGACATCCACCAAAGTCACCCCAGTTCTTACTTATCCTGGGCAAACACTGCCCCTGTGAGGCCATATGGAGAAGTGCTGTCAATCAGGTGGAGAATATCTTTGTATTGTTTCTCTGGATAGACGTACACCGACAGAACTGGCCCAAAGATTTCCTGCCCGGGGGGGGGGGGGGGGGAGAGGGGAGATAAAACAAATCGAAATTAAAGGCTGGTGCATCTGGGAAAATCATTGTCTACATTTCTGTGAAACTTTGGGGACAATTTCACTAGGAAAATTAGCATGTCTAAAGTGAGGGCCAAGGTATCACTGTGGAGATGCCTGAACTACATTTCCCAGCGCATGTTCGGACTCCTACAGAGTGCCTGCTAAGTTCTTAATTAAACGGTGTTTTTGTAACGATCAGAGTTACTTTAAACTCTTGCAGAAAGGTGCCTGGAGGAGGACTTGGCCTCACAAGGAACAAGCAAAGACTGTGGGAGGTATTTAGCATTTTCCCAAGAAAGGATCGCCTCTTGGTGCCCGCTCCCCATCGCAAAGACTTGCCTCTTGCATGATGGGATCCTTGGGGTCTTTTGTCTCAACAATGCATGGCTGGATAAAATAGCCCACTGCATCGTCGCAGCCGCCTCCGGCTAGGATGTTTAGATTGGGTGAGGATTCGGCATGCTTGATCCATTTCTTGATCCGTCCGAATGCCTGAAAGACACAGCAGCAGAAACAGTAGAGTTACATCCAGTGGTGGGATTCAGGCATTTCGCACCGGTTCAACCAGTTGTTAACTTTGTGTGCAGTTTGGGCACCCGGCTGAATCACCATCTTCGGGGCCCGCTTCGCAGCTCCCCTCCCAGCCACTCCTCACCTCGCCCAGACTCTTCTTAGGCCATTTCGGCATCTTGGAGCTCCTCTAACCGCCCTTCCCGCCCCCTTCAAGCAAGTGATGTCGGCACAGGCAAAACCCCAAGGCAGCTCTGGTTACATCCATATAACAAAGAACTAAGTTCTAGACGTGCCTAACACCATAAACAGGCCAATATCTCAGAACAAGAACATGTAAGGGCAACATCTCAGGACATCTTCCTCTCGACCATTAAACCTTGAAAGGAGTTGGTGAAATGACGACAATGGATGTACTATTTCAATATTGAAACTACTGTCTAAGAGTGTAAGTTACACACACATATAGAGGCCTGTTGTGGCCCAGCAGGAGCTGTTGGAGCTGCAAACAGACTCCGGCAGCGAGGGGCCCTATGAGTCGGCTCTGGAAGATGTGGAGGACCCTGGACAGGGTTCAGACTCTGAGCAGGGACCGGAGAGGCTGGTTGGCCACCAAAAGGCACCTGAGGCATGGAGCAGCGATGAAAGCCAAAGGGAGTTGGTCCAGGACGCCAGGCAAAGTCGGGCAGATAAACGCAGAGAGCAACTACACAGATACAGAAGATAATTGGGGCCAGGTGGTTGTAATTAGGTTCCTCCCAAGATAGTATATAAGGAGAGACTTTGGGAGGAGGCTGTTTGCAGGATTCAACTAATATACCAATGCTGGAGAAGCTCTCCTCTGTATTTCTTATCTTAGAAGTCTGGATTGCTGCCAAAGTCTTGTTGGTGTGTTAATTTACTGTTAATAAATTGTCTAGCAGTAATATTGTCTTGGAGTGCCTCGGTGTACGGAGGGGGGGTCAGAACAGAGGCTTATTCTAGGTGCTTGTTTGCACGTGCAAATGTCAAAGCATAAATATTCTGCCTGGGGGAAAATGAAAGCTGGTTTAGACACACAAGAAAGAATGCGATCTGACCTTGCTATCAATCACGGCGGAGAAGAATGTTCCGAAATCTTCAGCTGGCTGCAGAGAAAGCCCGACAAAGAAAATATAAGGAATTTGGGAGAAACTTGAACGTGGCTCCATAGAGCTCCCTATTATCTAGAGAAATTGATCCATTCCATCCCGAAATTGATCCACCCCGACTGCCAAGCCACAACTCACGTCTCCCACTTTGATCTTCTGATGCTCCTCCAGCAGCCCGGCTTTGACGCGAGGCCACAGAGAGTCTGGCACGTAGAGGCGGGAACAAGCCGAGCACTTCTGGCCGCCGTACTCAAAGGCTGAGCGGACCGTCCCGCTCACTACGCTGGGCACATCAGCCGAGGCATGGACAAAGTGGAAATTCTTCCCTCCGCATTCTGAGAAAGGGAGACATTGGACAGGAGTAAAGGTAAAGCTTCCCCGCGTGCATATGTGCTAGTCGTTCCTGACTCTAGAGGGCAGTGCTCATCTCCGTTTCAAAGCCAAAGAGCCAGCACTGTCCGAAGACGTCTCTAAACGCCGAAGGCACACGGAACGCTGTTACCTTCCCACCAAAGGGGGTCCCTATTTTTCTACTTGCATTTTTTTTACATGCTTTGGAACTGCTAGGTTGGCAGAAGCTGGGACAAGTAACAGGAGCCCACTCCATTACACGGCACTGGGGATTCGAACCGCTGACCTTTCTGTTCAACAAGCTCACCATCTTAGCCACTGAACCACTATGTCCCTGAGCCACTCAACCACGTCCAATGAGCCACCAGTCACGGAGTGACTGAGGAGGGTCGAATTCTAGGCATTGTCCCTCCCAGTGTGGGGGAGGGAGGACTTGACCCTCTCCAAATTGAAAACCCTCCTTCACTTTAAGTTGTTGAAAAAACTATGGAGGAGACCCCTGCCCGTGTGGAATTGCTGAAAGCAATATTTGGGGGGCGTGGGAGAGGGAAAAGTTCCTCCTTCATTAACACATTGGGAATTCTGGGAGAAATTCAACAGGCTTGGTGCATGGCTAACTCCTGTGAGACTGACAGCGGGGCAAATACCTGCCCACCATGCTGGCAGATGCCTGCGCTTTATGAGAGATCGAGGGCTTTCTGCTTGTCAGCAACTTAGCATCTGGGGTGCCGCTGCCAGTTTGGTTTTACAAGCCGGCAATATTACACTGAAGACCATCAGCGCAACTTTGGATTAGAAAGCTACCCAAAAGTCTTTCAATTCATGATCAAGAGATCTTCACACTACCTGGGTTGTTGTTGAGTTTTGGCGGCCTTCTGAGGGTGGGGGGAGGGAAGAAATAAATGTTGTGCCCCACCAGCAGCCACTGGAGCTGGGAGCAGATTCGGACAGTGAGGAGGTTGGGGAGGAACATGGGCCAGTCCTGGAGTCTGGGGAAGGCTCTGATGAGGGCTCTGTGTTGGAGGCAGAGAGGGGGCGAGGGGCGTATGCCAATTATCAGCTGCCTTCAGAGTCGGACATCAGTGAGGCAGACAAATAACTGGAGCCTGTTCCCAGTGTGCGCATGCACAGAGTTGCCAAACAAAGTGAGCAGCTAAAGAACAGGGGTTGACTTGGGAGTAAGGCTAGATGATGAATGGCCCCT